GGGGCAAAGCAGCCCGAGAATAAAAGTAAATTGTAAACATGTATGTTTCCGTTTACATCTCGCATGGGCTGCATCGCACAACTGCGATTCATAAAAAAATATGCGTAGCAAATGGCTGAAAATACATCGCGAATTGCGATGCGATACCGGGAAAATTATTCCCTGCAGTCATACTTTGTACACAACATGCATACAGCAACATGTAAACCCGGCCTCCGTGATTTTGTCACCATTAGGAATAATTTGTGACCTCGTCGATTTCGCCAAAGCATAATCTTGACTTTTGTTTGGGAAACACCTTTACGATAATCAGACACAATTTCTGGCTTCTGAGACATTATTAGAGTCAGTGCATCAAAATTATGAAAATTTTAACAAAATCATGCTATGAAAAAGTAGCTCTGGCCAAGCTCAAAATAGCTCCCGTAAACAAAATTACGAGAGCTCTTTTTTTCATACAAAATCAAAAAAGAGCTCTTGTAATAAAAAAAGTATTTTTTAGGCTGGTCACAATGCACCATAAAACAGGAGTTTCAGGCACGCGATTTGTATCAACCAATGGGATTTGGGAGGTATGCAGAATGCAGAAGGTTGCTGAAATGATGTGTACGCAACTGCGTATCTGCATATCTGCGCCTAACAAAGGTGTCACTACGCACGACTTAAATGTTACATTTATAACCGTAGCAACATACCTCAGATGAGCCCAGACGCTCTGCGGCTCTTGTTTCTTATCTATTGTTATTTTCTTATCCATTGTTTTTTTAGCTCAGCTGACGAACTCAGATGCAGCTTGTAGAATCGCATGATTGTCCGTGCGTGCGTCCGTCTGTCCGTCCGTCTGTCCGTCAACAGTTGGGCACAAATCTTAACCGCTGAACGTATGGTCTTGATATTCGGGACGTCGGGGGGCATCGCGAAAAGGACTCGGGATGTCGAATTTGGGGGGTCAAGGGGGGTCATTCCCCCTCCGTTTACACATCTTGACCTTTGACCCTTTGACACAAATTTGTCATCCTTTCCCAAGTTTTGAGTCTTTTTCACGATCCAAC